TACCTGCTAGCTAGCTAAATGTTAACATTAGCCATTAGCTAGTTCATATTTCCCAGTTGCCTAGGAACAGGGATCTCATACCTCACAAAAAAGTCATACAAACTTCAAAAAGTGAATAATCACACACTTCACATGTTAAGTTTACACCTGTGGACATATCTCGCTAGCTAAATCATTAGCATCAATCAGCTAGGATTGCCTGGTTGCCCAGCAACAGAGCTCTCACAAAGTTTTTCCCTTACAGAAAAGTCACACAAATTTAACATGTGAATAATCGCATGATTCATAAATGAAATTTACACATTTTATTCATAACTTATTATTACTTGCATTCATGTGCAGTTTCAGGGTAGTATATCATGTGCGTGTTTACATACATAATTGTATGTGATTTTTCTGTAAGGGGAGTCACATGGCCTAAGTTAACATGTGAAAATAAATGAATCATGTATTTTAAAAATGACATGCAAAAAAGTAAATGAATTGTGTGTCAAAAAAAACTAAACATGAAAAACTGTGTGTAAATTAAACTGCATGTGTATTGTGTGTTCAACTTCCCATGTTGAACGCGAAAATGTTCCATTTGGACACAATATTAGAGAAGTACAACTCCAGTAGAGAGTTCAAAAACACATTTTAATGTACTAGTGAACATTATTGAACGCTAGTGGATTCTAGCTTTCCCCTTCCTGGTTACAGAATATAATTACTGCACTGCTATTCTGTCTTGAAAGGACTTGTGGTCTGGAGCTATAGCCTCATTAGGACATCGTTAAAGCATAATATCCTGTGAGAAAGAGCAGTGCTAGCAGACATCAAAAAGCGACAGAGGAAAGAGTGCATGTGTCTCTGGGGATGAACGATTCTGCAGATGCTACAGGACCGAACGAACCCTTCCGCTCGGTCAGCCAGTGAACGTTGTCTCTTATTTTTCTGTCTTCTTCAGCTTGTATCTCTTGTTTTTCATCTTTGAGACCATCCATCAGAAGTTGTAAGAAAGCAGTTTCGCCAACAGCGTATCACCTTATGTCTCCCATGGGACAAAGAAGATCCTTTTGTAATAACGCATCTTTATTTCACCAGAAACCCTTTGTCTGAGCCAAAAAAATCCCAAAACAAACCGTTTGGTTGTCCTGACATGAAGTCTATTATGAATATTGACCCAAGAACTGAATAAACAGCCAGATACATGTTGACTGTGCAGCAAAACCAGTTGAACGTGATTCATGTTGCTTGGAACGGGCACCTTCTGCAAACAAACTCTGAGTTTATTCACATTATTTAAAAAAATTTTTTTTTTTTCAGTACCTATCCAGTCTAAAAAGTGATTTTTAACTGTTTAACCCCTATTTGCTGGATGATTCTGAAGGCATGATAGCATTTCAGATTTGCATAACTGTAGATTTTTGCATAAAATAAAGAACTTCAATTCATTACAATTTGCAATTTATTATTTGTTTGTTTGTTTAACGTACCAGGCTACTTTAAGTTATTCTTTATGTACTGACCTCAGATCAGTTTTGCTGATGATAAATTAACTCATATGTATATTCATCTGTGTACACGCAACAGTCCTGTAAAAGGGGAGAGACATGAATAGAGACCCTACAGAATGAAAATCATCCCTGAGAAAGACACTGTCCATGGCTGGGTGCCAAAATTTTTACTGGCACCCGTGTGTATAGGTATAAACCAGAGTCTGGCCATCATCCTTCTTCTCAATCCATGTTGTTCATGTCTGCACAGCATTGACGTTCAGTTATATCAAATTCCAGAGCAATGAAACTTGCTTAGTTTGTAATGAGATCTGCTCATAATTTAGATAATGACATACCACTGATATTATGAATGACGTTATGTTATTTCCCGCTAATTTGGGGCTTATTAGTTCCTTAACTAAATTAAAACCCCAGTCAAGAGTTGCTGTATCTGTCTGGCCAGGTTCTTTGAAAGACATCGAACATTAAGTACAGAAAACTGTGTTTAGGAACATTAGCTATATGAGAAAATAAGTCCCTGTGGTCGGCTTAAACTTCATAAAATATTATTTTAATGATAAAATTCAATGGAATTAATGCGGGCACAGACTGGGTAGAAAGTCTGAAAAGTCCACTTAGTGTGACTGCATTAAAAAATATACAGGCCAATCGTGTATCATTATGCAAATTCAGGCCATATTGTGGGGACCGTGGTACAAAAGATGTCCTTTGTATTACAATAGCTCTAATTTACATAATCGCTGTATCGGGAATTGGTGATGAGGAAGTTAAATAATAATAACAATAATAATAATAACAATAATAATACATTTAATTTATATAGCGCCTTTCTCACACCCAAGGTCGCTTTACAATTACAACAACAACAAAAAAAAACCCACAAAGTCCTCCAAAAGCTGTGGGAATCTAATTTCAGTAACGTAGCTGCTCATAGTCCCGCTAAAGGCCTGCATAGGTATGTCCCGCGCAGCCTGTACAGCCGCAATACCACTGGGCAACACCTCCTGGAACACCATGCCATGGAGAATGGCCAGACTGGTTTGGGAAAGTTACGGTAACTAAAATAACCACTCTTACAACCACGGTGAAAGGCAAAGCTTCTTAGAACACACAACACGTTGAACCTTGAGGCGGACGGACTACAACAGCAGAAGACCGCTTATTGCATTCCACTCCCCAGGCTACTGTGAGTACAGGCTCACCGAAATTGGGAAGTTGACGATTGGAAAAACATCGCCTGTTTTATTTTTTTTCAATCTTCAACTGATCAGCTTTGCTGAACCTGTGTCCACTGTAGCCTCAGAGTCCCGTTCTTGGCTCAGGAATGGAATCCGATGCGGTCTTCTGTTGTTGTAGCCCATCTGCCACAAGGTTTGATATATTGTGCATTCTGAGATGCTTTTCTGCTCAACATGGTTGTAAAGAGTGGTTTATTGATTTACTGTAGCCTTCCTGTCAGCTCAAACCAGTCTGGTCATTCTTCCCTGACCATTTTCTCTGCTCTCTTCCTGACAGCCTTGAGATTTAAACCCACAGCTTTGTGGTTACAAGGACAAAACCTTAAATACAGAGCTTCTTTTCAATGAATTTGACCTCACTCTACTGAACTTTGTTCAGTTTCTTTTTTTTTGGATGCACTTTATAAATAGACATGACATAATTGACTCCATGCAGAGGGTATGTTCATTCATTTTCATAAAATATCCCTTGTGGATAAGACGTTTTACACCCCTAAATGTGATTATTATTCAGACACACAACACTCTTTCTCTCCTGAGCTCCTCAGCCTCCCACCTTCAGACTTTACATTCACACACACACACACACACACACAATTCCTCCCTGCTGATAAGTATTCAGACTGTGTCACAGGGGCCGAGATAAACACCACATTCCTCAGCCGACTGTTACCACTTCGGATTTTGTGCGTCACTCTCATTCTCTCTCACCCCGACCCATCTAAAATGGTGGCCTCATGTTTCGTGCATTGCTTTCTGCCATCCGTTAGTTAGTGGACCAGTACCAGAATCATGTTGCATGACCTAAGATGGTCCGATCATTACGACCTTTTTTTCAGTATGAGCACACTGAGTCTTTGAAGCCATGCATGAACGATTTATGAGGGTTTATTTTTCTACACTGCGGTTTGGGGTGGACTCCTGAAAAGGAGAAAAGAAGAGGCAATGAAATGAGAGTGAAAGAAGGGGGTAACTTTATGGTACTTGCAGCTTTACTGACAGAGAGACAGAAAGACAGAGAGAGAGAGAGAGAGAGAGAGAGAGAGAGAGGAGTGGTAAAATGATCCCTTTTGTGGGTACGAGAAGCATTTGTGAGCGCTGACTCATGAAAACGATCCCCATTCATCAGGAAACCAATGCTGGATTATCCTAATTACAGAGATAACACCCTACAGAGAGACAGATTGAGACAGAGGGAAGACGTGGGTTACGCTAAAGGTCGCCTGCCTTATTCAAACTCAAACCCAACTCTTATGATATCTGACATGTCTTTGGTTTCCTGTTCTTGCTGATCTGTTTTTCTATCCATCTCTCTCACTCTCTCCATCTTTCTGGGAGGAGATAAAGAAATATACTGAACAAAAAGTTATTCAAGTCTGTATAATGGAGGAAGTACCATGTGACATAGTTATTCATGTGAGTGATTTCATGTAATGGAACAGTATTTATGAGGTCAGGGTTGAACCAGCACAGCTGGGGAACCGCCACAGTCACCACAACAGGCCCCATTTTGATATCTTTTGCAACTAAAATAGTCAACACTCTCAAAAGTTAAGTTAAAACTCGAATGTGAGTTATCATGGCCAATTTTTCATAGGAAGTTGAAACTTTCACAGTGTTCTCTGTGGAACAACGCATCTACAATTTACAATTC